CGATCCTCCTGATCTCTGCCTCCTAAGTAGCTAGGATTATAGGCATGAGCCACCATCACCTGGCAGGACCTTATATTTAAATTAACATTTACAAAAAAAATCAAATAACCACTAAAAGAAATTTAAACACTGGCTTGATCTTTGATGGTAAGAAATTAATGCTATGGGTATCACAGGCATTTTCTTTGAATAGAATCTGCATTCTAATGAGGACGCACATCCAGTAATTCCAGCACGGGGGGGGGGGGGCCGCAGGGGGAGGGGCACCAGGATGCAGAATGCTAAGACAAGGCAATAGCAGGTTTAAGACCAGCCTGTGCTACACAGTGAAATCCTGTCTCAAAAAAGGGGAAAGTGGACACATAAATGAAGAATTAATCTTATTTGAGGGTAGGGGGCACCAATGTTGCTGGGGGTAAGATCAATGGTAGAGTGGTTGGATCCCAGCATCCAAAAAAAATAATAATAATAATAAAAAAATTTGACCCAAAGGTAGGGTAGCTTATATGGGCCTATATTACATTTTTTTTCCGTATTTCTGAATGTTTTCAATTTCCCATAATGAAAAGGGATCGTGTACTCTACAAAAAGCAAGCATTTAACCACATGACACGTAGGAAGAACAGTTATTCTCAAGCTGTTTCATTTCAGGGGCTCCTTGAACTGGTAGCAATTATCAAGGACCCAAAAGAGCTGTCACTGTTTGAGTTTTATACATACACTATATTCACCTACAAAACTCTGAAACAAGAATTTTAAATGTATCATGAATTCATGTAGAAAATAAGTGCTATTACATGTGAACATAAATAACATTTACAAAAACTATTTCCAAAACAAATAGTTTAATTAGAAAAAAACCACTATTTTTAATTCCACTGCTGAAATATCTACCTCACTAGAAGTCATCTGACTCTTCCTAACTGAATTCAATTTGATGTGGTATCACACATCATGCAGTGTCATGCACTGCACATTCAGAAGAGAAAGAGGATAGAAAAGGAAAATAATGTCTTCATCTTACTTCCTACCTTGCAAAGAAAGGGATTCTGAAAACCTCAGGGGGTCCCTGGATGGCACTTTGGGAACCAATGACATGGAGGGACAAACCTGTGAGAAAAACAAAATTTCTTGGCAAGCAAGGACCACCTCATCCTCCTTGTTGTGAGGTGCAAAAGGCAAAAGACTTAAGTGCCCTAAAGTTGGTAACACCATTAACGTTCCACACACTACACCATCAAGAAGAAAGGGACTCTACGTAGTAGTGACCAGGACAAAGCCCTCCAACACTCCCCATCTAAATCCAGGACTGTAAAAATGTACCATTTCTGGACTGCCCATCCTACTAGGCAATCAATACACTGTGTCTCCTGACAGGCAAAAACCTGGACAGATCAGAGTTATCATGGATAGTGATGACAAGAAGGCTGAGTTAGTACTTGTTTCTGGGGTGTGTGTGTGTTTGTGTGTGTGTACAAACCAAAATTCCCTAGTGCAAATAAAAGCTGATATTTACAAAAACAATGCCCCAGGTACAAGATGTAGGTTCTAAGAGTCCTTATAAATAAAGAAAGAAGAAAAACTGGGTTTGGAAAGGAATTAAGTGAAAGTAGTGGATCTAATAATGACTACTGAGGAAAGAACGTGACCTCTCAGGGGACAAGAAAGGGTACAGGGTTGAAGAGAACAGAAGTCCAAAGCCAAGACCCAGAGATACTAAGAGCAGCCTCTGCATGGAGGCCTCTAAGAATGGAACCATGGATCTACTTACTCAGACATGAGTAAGAGAGAGCCAGGCATGTGGTACATCCTGTAATCCTAGCACTTGGGAAGGTGAGGCAGGATAATCCAGTATTCCAAGCTAGCCTGGGTAGCAAAGGAAGCACATACATGGTATATGGGAGGCCGTGGATTCAACTCCCAGCAGCAGAAACAATCTCTCTCTCTCTCTCTCTCTCTCTCTCTCTCCTCTCTCTCTCTCTCTCTCTCTCACACACACACACACACACACACACACACACAGTGGAAGCGGAGAGGGAGAGGGAAGAAGGGAGGAAAGAATGGGAGGAAAGATGTGTGAGGATGTTCTAAGACAAAACCAGAAGCTGATAAGAGACTATCAATAGTGAACTATTTTGTTTTTAAAGCACAATGCCCACAAACCATGGACTGCAATGCAGATGGAGAAAAAAAGCTGGGCCATACATAGGTACAAAAAGATCAATGATATACAAAAATCTCTCCTTGCAAACTTTCAAAATATAAATTTTCAATGTCAAACATAATCAGTACTCCACCAGCACCACACAGCAGTAGCAGCTATCTGCACACAAACACAGGACTTCTGTAAAGCTAAGTGAAAAGGCAAACTTCAAAATTGTGGCATGGCCAGGTGTGGTGGTGCCTGACTATGATCCCAGCTACTCAGCAAGTAGAGATCCCAAGTTTGAGGCCAGCTCAGAAAAAAGTAGCAGAGAAACTGTCTCAAAAACAAAATAAACACAAAAGGGCTGGGAGCACAGCTCCAGTAATAAGAGTGCTTGCCAAACATGAGCAGGAAAGACTCTGGGTTCAATCCCCAGCACCATTGAAAAAAAAAAAAAAAAAAGGCGTGGGGGCTGGTGGTATATGGCTCAGTGTTAGAGCACGTGCTTATCACGCACAGGGCACTAAACTCAATTCCCCCACACCAAAGGGAGATGGTGAGGACAACAAAAACCTGTGAAATTTACTACTTTCTTTGTTTTTGAAATTCTTTAACAAATGAGCTTTGAGAATTTTAAAGCGGGGTGAGGGGGTGAAAGAGATCACTGTTTTGGACGGTAAGGGAGTTCTGGGGCCACCACTTGAGCCACCTTCCAGTCCCTGTGCTTTTTAAATGTAACTCAAAGTGATCATAGCCACGTACAAAAAATAGGTCCGTATATGTATATAAAACTCCTATGCAAGCATCAGAGACTGATTTGGGGCCATGTAAAGGGCTGTGCTTTGTAAGACAACATTAAGAAATATTACTTTGTCTCCCCAAAATTCATATGCCTATATCCTAATCCCACTACCCTAGCATATGATTACATTTGGAGGTAGGTCTTTAAAGTGGTGATTATATGACAGTCTTTAAGTGTGCTCTGAGGACTAAAGTGGAGGACAAAAGGTAAGAATAAGAAGCCCAATCAAGGGAAAAGCACCCACAGGAGAAGGGTAAGGTATGTGATGCGGAAAGCTCCCCTGGTTTTACTCTGCAGGGGCAGCAAAGTCCCCACACACAAAGGAAAGCTACAGGTAGTTGTAGGTAGTCCAGCAGGGCAGGATTTTTCTGATGGTTATACTTCACTGGACATGGATAAGTAACACAAGCATACCCCAGCTCATTCCTGTGGCTATAAAAGACAGGAAAAGCAAAAGAGACAGTACTCCTACACAACTCAAACATGTCTAACAGATGCACAAGGCAATGCAGGAGACATGAATTTGGAAAACCAGGCTGTGTCTGCTGCCTATAGGTAAAAGCCCACCACCCACACAGATCTAAGAGAAGCACGGATGTGTGGGGAAGAGAAACAGCAGAAATGATTCTGCTGGAAAAACCTGTACCAGAATGCTGTGGGGAAAAGCAACCTACATTCCTGGTGTTTGCCCACACCTTAAGCATTTATTGCAATGAACATGCCACTGAACCCCATATAGTCCAATCTCAAATGAACCAGGTAATTCAGAACAGCTTGAATTCTTCTCTTAATGGTTTAAGAATATGCTGTGATGTTTAGGTCTGACATTCTGGAATTTGAAGTAGGAAGGGCTTAAAGACATAATCTACACATAGATAGGAAATCAGCTATCTTTAAATTCCCCTCCTAACACCTCCCAGGGGTTATACATTTCTCATACAAAAATCACCCCAAAATGAGCTGTTGGCTACAAATTTGTTATTTGTGTGAAGCTAGCTTAATGCAGTTGCTACCTGAGCTGGCTGAAAATACTGTCCAGTACTTGGAATTAGACAAATCCCTGAAGAATCAATCACTAAGCACTTACAAAGTATGGCAGGCACTATGCTCAGCCTTTCTCATTACAATTAAAACTCACTAAATGTTAACAAAGTAGGTACACCTATCCACTATCTCCCATTCTGTAGGGATGGTCAAAGAATGCAACTCAAAGCACACACCTAGCAAGTGTTAAAAATACACCATGCGCTTTTTAATCACGTCTAGCAATTAAAAGGGCAGAAGTTTCTGCCCACTCACCTTCCTCCCCGTGTTTCATACTCTTCCTTGAAACTAGAGTTCACAAAGAGATCATAAAGTCCATATGCTTCTCGTTAACATGTTTTTTCACTTTTTTGTTGTTTTGAGTTTTTTGAGACAGGGCTTGCTGTGTTGCCCAGGCTGGCCTGAATCTCTGGATTCAAGCTGCTTCGTGCCTCCCAAGTGCTGGAACCAGGGCACCCAGCTAAGCTACCTCCATTTGGTCTACATGTTCTTCATTATACCAAAGGGATTCATCCCCTCCCGTAAACCACTAGATATGAACTGTAACAGTTAAGAACCCTTCCAATTATAAAATTAGACTGCTATTCTCACTCTATTGTTAATTTCTCATATCTTTAAGGGAAGTGCATTGCCCTTAATTTGGCCTTTGACACAGAATAGTGCAGCAGATAGTATGTAAAACTGAGGTAGTCCTAAGACGAAGTCATGTTCTCTGACAAGCTGTGAAATACACAAGTCTCTGACACTCACAGTCTTTGGTTCCGAGCAGGCAAGAGTTTGACTTCATTGATCCCACCACTTAAGAAACAAAATAGAAATAATACAAAGGTGTAGGCCATGTTTCATCACCCGAACAAAAAGATTCTTAAGGTCATTAAATATTTCCTGGTCAAATATAATTTCAATTGTATTGCTGTCAAGCAAATCCTTACCTAAGTGTGCAGGCTCAAAATCACGAAACTTGCTTTGTCCTCTTCTGTGAACATCCACATAGCCAGAAAAGTAGACATTCATGCACAACTATCAAGAATTTTATCTTGGGGCGGGGGGGGGAGGGGGGAGAGGGAGAGAGAGCAGGGAATGTAGCTCAGTAGTAGAGCAGATCTTAGCAAAGACCTGGGTTCTGTACCCAGCATGGATGACAGGGAGCACGAGGGAGAAGGGTGCTAATGAATTTCTTTCTTCTGGACATAAAAACAAGGCCAAGCCCTTTTTCCTCATTAAAAAATGACTGTATCTGTGGTATTCTTGTTAACAAAACTCAATATAAATTGGCAAAGGTCAGGTCTTTTATAGCAGGTAGCATTCAGAAAATCAAAATGTAGAATCCTTGCAGAAAAGCAGTTACTTTTGTGAGTTTCTGGCTTTTTCACTCTGCTCTTGAATGATCTAGAATGAGTTTTATTATGATACACTGCCTCCTGTTCCCAAATTTACATTCTACAATTTCATAAAAACCCCCCAAACCAGATGAGCAATCGAACCAATACCACAAAACTACTGAAAATTGCAGATCCTATTTCATATGCTAGTTTTAAAAGAAACCAACATATCATATTCTTTCTGTAGCCCTGGTTGAAATACTATAGACTATTCTTTACTGATTTTATTTTCATATACAATATCTGTGACTTAGAGACCATATGGTGAATTCCACAAATGAAACACAGAGTAATTATTTCCTATATTACCCTCTCTGAATAACAGCTAATCTAGCTACTCAAGAAAGATTCCTGATTAGATAAGGAGGAAACATTTTATGTCATTAGCTATACAATTTCATCTGTTTAAGAACCGCATTGTATGTAATGAATGCCAGATGAGCTTAAAGTACAGTAGGTTTCAAAATAACCTCCAAATCATATTTATATAGCTGTTTGATAATAAACAGCCAACATTTCACCTCCTACTTCAACCCACTTACATGACAGGAAACCCTCACCCCAGCTACCCATCCAAATTAGTATAGACCACGATCAGAGTTTCTTAAAATATGTTTTTCTCTTCTCATCCATACATTCTATGAACCTCTTGATTAAACTCAAGGTTTTCGTCTTTTAAATTGGTCATGGTAGAAACAAAACAGGGTTAAACCTAGCTTGGAATACTACCAAGACCTTACCTGTGTCTTTATTAAATACTGTGTCTTGGAATTGTGAAGAAAATTACAACATCAGTGTATTTTCCCCAGTCTCTCCACAAGCCTCCAGGACTGTTGCCTGTATTTTTCATCCAGTTTTCACTGGCTATGGATCCACATAAAAGCAGAAGCTGCTGGGCTTACCATGCTGAAAAGGTGACAAAGTTTTGATTAAAACTACTGAAAAAGCAATCCAAGACAATGGGAGAAACCAGTTTCAGGGGCTGGTGGAGTGGCTCAAGGTGTAAGGACAAGGCCCTAAATTCAAACCCCAGTGCTGGGGGAAAAAAAACCAAAACCTAAATTCAACCAGTTTCTACTAATACAGCAGCATCAGGTGAAAATAACTCCCTAGCCAGGGTGTGACAACCATCTCTGAGCTAAGTAGGAGTCAAGAGGCTGAACTACTCTGAAATCAGAAGTCAACTGATACAGAGAAGCGAAAAGCTTGATGACTGCAGCAAATTTACATAATTTGCGACCGTTGATTAGTTTTTCATCACAGAAAGTTAAAGGGCCATTCAAGTTCAACTTTTCCTACTATATTCTCTCAAGCACATACATGTCTCATTTCCCAATTTTGTTCAAAAACCAGACAGATACTCCATGTCACACGCCTAACAGTTGGTGCAGGACCTCTGAGGAAAAGGCCGCACAGGATGAGAGAGTCATCAGAGCTCTCCTTTTGAAATTATGCTCGGGGCAGCAGCCCCTCATTGGTACACCAACGTGTTTAGCAATAAGAAACATTCAGGCTTGCATATCAAGTATCTCTTTTGATTATTACGAATATTCTGAATTCTAGAATATTCAATAAGGTGGCAGTTATCTCCCTTCCCTCAAGGAAGTAAGCAGTGAAAAGGTAGCTATCCTACTTTCTCTGAAAGGACCAAAAGACTTCACCCCCTCTATCCCTGCCCTCCCCCATCCCCTCTAGCCTAGAAAAACATTGGACCTGAATGTCTAGGCTGCTTCCTTGTGCTCTTTTAATAAAACCAACCACAGCAAAGAAAACAGAAATTAGGGGGTAAAGCAGAGCTTTTTTTACCACTGGGATTCACAGCAGCCTTTGGACAAACCATTATGGTGTCTGGATTCACTTCTCAATAATCATCACCCCCTTTCTGCCTACTCCACACCACCCTCCAAGATCAAAGGCAGCACTTAACTGTTTATAACATCCTGAGCAATCCAGGAGTCACAAGAGCTTTTTGTTACCTTTCCCACCCCTCATTGTCTCTGCTCCAGAAACTTTATTTTTTTTGGGGGGGGGGGAGTGCCCGCACTTCCTAGCTACATCAGTAAATGAAGCCTTGGGATGATTATAAAATGGGAGCCGCATGGGGGTGCCAGCTGCAGGGATGCAAAGCAAGCCTCTCTTATTGTAGACAGGTGGCATCAATAATCACAAAGAAAACAACTAACCAACCTGAAAAGTTCTTGCTGGATCCGTAAAATACTCGAGCATCAAATCCTGCAGACAAAGCATGCGTTCACTTCACAAGCACCAGCCTCACTTCCTTTCTCCGTGTCCTTCTGCATTCACCTTTTAAACCTAATAGGTTGCTAATATCTACTTGTCCTCTAGCCGGGTCCTGGATTTCATGCTTTTCTTTGAAGTTTAAATACAAAAGCAGAGCACGATCTGTTTGTTTAATCCTTTGGATTCTCACAGCTGTCACAGTCACTTTTTTGTGGAGCCTGCTCAAGCCCAACAACATCAGCAAATCCAACCACCAGAGAACACAGACTTGCCTCTACCTCCCTTGCAGATGTCTCACCTCATCTGCAACCAATAGCAACAAACATGGCAGGAGGAGGAGGTATAAACACAAACATTTTGAAGGACTAGGGCCCGTGATGGAGAAACAAACTCATAATGAGGATCTCATCTTCCTATTCTACCCACAGCCAGCTCTCTACATACCAGCTTTGTGAAGAAAACGCCACTCAAGGCGCACTCTCTCTGGTGATGAAGGGTGGGGGACCAGAATAAATACTCAAGCTGCCATGGTATCTTCTCAGATCAGAAATTCCCAATAAGAAAAACTGGCTCAAACTAAGACCTAAAATATGCATTCCCAGAACCAACACCTCAGGGACCTTCTGTTAGGATAATGGAGGCTTTAGATATATGGTAACATGTGGATGGGGCGAGGGAGAAGAAGAAGGGTGTTACTATTAGTGATCAGGGAAGCAGAGTAAAAGTTAAGTTCAAGATGAAAACTGCAGGTTTACTGACTTGGTAAAGAATAAATTCCTAAGAAAAGTGATAGAGCTTGTGCTAAGCATGCATAAGACCCTGGGTTCAAGCCCCAGCAGGAGGGGGGAAGGGGAGTTCTATGGACTTTTGGGGAACAATTCTGATCTCAAACAAAAATGTATGTCAATCTGCAAATCCATCCATCACCTTCCAAGACTCCCACTAAACCATACTCAACCTCCAGAACTGTGGTCCTAAGTGAGACCCGCATATTCGTGCAGAGCAGAAAAGAAACTGACATGTTAACAGCATTTCTGTATTTTACAGACAAGATTATTTTTGAACTGGCCTGAGAGCAGTAACATACTGCTTTCTCAAGGGGATTTCACAAAGGGACAGGGAGATATTATTTCTGACTTTTAAAAAATTCTACCACTAAGTTGATAGAATCAAGTTAAATGCATGCAACAAACTCTCCTTTCTAGTTACAAAACCTGATAGGACAAGGAAGTATTAAATTACAACCAATCCTTACAGAGTGTCTGTCTACAGGGACTGACTTCAGGTCAGACATTTACTCACTGAAACTCCACAGCAACCCTTTTAGAAAGGCACTACCTCTACTCCTGCTGCACAGGCTGGCTAGATGACTGGCCCAAGGTCATTCCAGTGGCCCAAGGTCATTTCACAGAGAGCGGACATTCAAATCCAAGATGTGGGTTCAAACCTTTTTCCTAACCAAAGTGTAGTCAATGGTAGAGCACTTGCTTAGCATGCTAAGGCCCAAGCACTGCAAAACAAACACAACACAAGGAAAGGGAAAAGGAAAAAAGGGAAAGGAAAGACAGAAAAGAAAAACAACTGAGCCCATTAAAGAAACTGATGACATTTCCTTGAAATGGATGTATTAATAAATGAGACTTCATTCAATAGGTTTATTAAAAAAAAAAAACCTGAACAGATATGCAACTCTTTTTGTAAAGGAGAGAGGGTGAAAAGGTATACTGGGTTGTGACTGTTTAAGTTAAACTGATTTCCCTGGAAAGCAGCCATCCCAAATTGAACAAAAGTCAATGCCAAAAGCCACACCTCTGGTGAGAAAATCCAGGAACCTGGTCCAAATGTGGAAAACTTCCCAAATTCCATGCTGTTAAATGAAGCCTATTAAAGAAATATTTTCAATTGAAACTCCCTTCCAGAGCTTAGGGCATTCAAAGGAAAAATAGATTTTTATCTTTTTTTAAAAAAGGAAAGAAAAACCAGAAGCCACTTTTTTGCAAGCCAAAAGAAAGTACCATTTGTGGTTGGTGTTATGTAATTTGCTGTGTGTGTGTGGTGTGTGTGTGTGTGTGTGTGTGTATGTGTGTGTGTTGGAGGAGTGGGGAGTAAAGCCAGGCATGGCTTTCCAGCACTAGAAAAGCTGAGGCAAGAATTCCAGGCCAGCTTAGGTTACACAGTGAGAACCTGTCTCAATGGACATACACACTACTCACCTATGAGAAGAAAGTCTTGCTCACAAGAGAACTTTTTCAAAGACAAAAATGTATTAGATCACTCTATAGTCCATGTCTCTAAGAGGACGGCCCCAAAGGGGGTGAGGCGGGTGAGCAGCACTGCTGGGAGTGGATGGGGATAAATCCTCACATTCCATCTCCTACTCTTAACAGCCCCACTGTAATTATAGAATTACAGGAACTGTCCCATAGAATTTGAACTAAAACCCGTGTCCCAAAGGATACCCAATTCTCACATTCATTTCACAAGGACTCTACAAAGGGACTTTATGCAGGTGGTCATGCAGGGACATCTATAAAGCAGGACACTGAAAATCAGAATCCATTCCCAGAGTTGGAACTAGACAATCATCCTGGCAGTGGTCACATCCAAGATATTTTTTTAAGACAATCTTCATCAAAATCTCAACGCCTAGAATTGGGGAACAGGCACCTCCCGAGGCCAACAGTGATATTCTGGAGGTTGAAATGTCTTTGCCTGGAAGATCTCTATAGACTTCGACCCATTCCACATCTACACATGCAAATGCTTGTGTGCGTAAGGGACTCCCCATCTCTCCAGAAATACCTGGCAAGAAATGAAGACAGCCATAGCACATGGCAACCAGTCACGCTCTTAGAACCCCAACCCTTGGTGTGTGTGTTGTGTGTGTGTATGTGTGTGTGTTGGAGGAGTGGGGAGTAAAGCCAGGCATGGCTTTCCAGCACTAGAAAAGCTGAGGCAAGAATTCCAGGCCAGCTTAGGTTACACAGTGAGAACCTGTCTCAATGGACATACACACTACTCACCTATGAGAAGAAAGTCTTGCTCACAAGAGAACTTTTTCAAAGACAAAAATGTATTAGATCACTCTATAGTCCATGTCTCTAAGAGGACGGCCCCAAAGGGGGTGAGGCGGGTGAGCAGCACTGCTGGGAGTGGATGGGGATAAATCCTCACATTCCATCTCCTACTCTTAACAGCCCCACTGTAATTATAGAATTACAGGAACTGTCCCATAGAATTTGAACTAAAACCCGTGTCCCAAAGGATACCCAATTCTCACATTCATTTCACAAGGACTCTACAAAGGGACTTTATGCAGGTGGTCATGCAGGGACATCTATAAAGCAGGACACTGAAAATCAGAATCCATTCCCAGAGTTGGAACTAGACAATCATCCTGGCAGTGGTCACATCCAAGATATTTTTTTAAGACAATCTTCATCAAAATCTCAACGCCTAGAATTGGGGAACAGGCACCTCCCGAGGCCAACAGTGATATTCTGGAGGTTGAAATGTCTTTGCCTGGAAGATCTCTATAGACTTCGACCCATTCCACATCTACACATGCAAATGCTTGTGTGCGTAAGGGACTCCCCATCTCTCCAGAAATACCTGGCAAGAAATGAAGACAGCCATAGCACATGGCAACCAGTCACGCTCTTAGAACCCCAACCCTAGAATTCAGGGCCACCTTTGACTCACCTGGTGTTTCCCATGTAAATCACTGTTTCTGTCTTGCTGAGGCAATCCTACCATATTTTTCACTGTGCCTAGTCATTTGTAAAAAAAAAAAAAAAAAAAAAAAAGCCAATTTTTTAATTTTTACTTTTAAAACTGGCTACAGTAGGAAGAATTTTTACACTGATTAGCTTTTATGTTGGCGGTGCCGAGGTTTGAACTGACACTTGCTAGACAGGCACTCTACCAATTCAGTCACATCTCTAGCCTTTTTTTGCCGATTCTTACGCCAGGTTATGATGAAGACTAATATTCATTCATTTTTACATAAACCACATGCATGTCTTGCTCAAACCTGTAGCAGGAGGCAAAGGCATTTGAGCAGCACCTCAGGAAGAATAAATAAACTAACTATCTGGAGTTCATGTATTTCAGAGACGGTGAGACCATCAAGTCAACCTGGGAGAATCTCTCTTGGCCAAAGAGAATCTCTCTTTGAGCTCATCATGAGCCCAAAATCCATGGCCTAAGAACAACACTGATTTCCTGCTGCTTCGCTAACTTCCTGCTTTGGAAAAGGAAAATTCTAAAACCATTTTTCTTAAGTTGCAGAGTAAAGAATGTTTACTAAGAAAATGTGGCTAAGGTTTATCCTCTAAGCACCCATCCCTCCTCCCAAACTTTCCAACGCTGCTTCTCACCTCTGGGCCTTGAACATGCCTCTAGACCATACTGCTAGCAAACTGTCTTCACCTAGCTAGTTTGTGCCCTCCAAGTATCTACACGGTGACATGCAGGAGAGTGTTTCTTCATTGCCCATTGTGGGTCATTTCTCCCTCCAAACTGCATCCACACACTCAAACCACTGCCACTGTGAAAGGTGTTCCTCCTGCAATAATGTAATAAACACTAGTCATCAGCGAGTACCTGACAAACCAAGTGTCCAGCACATGGCAGAAGATCAATAAGTATTTCTCAAATAAATGTAAAACCAAAATTTTGACTAAACAGATAAATACTGTTGTTGGGGGGGTGGCGTTGCTAGAGATCAAACTTCAGGGCCTTGCGCATGCTAGGCACATATTCTACCACTGAGTGAGCTACACCCTCAGCCCCAACACTGTTGATTTTGCTATGTATCCTTTAGTACTTTTCCTGAACAAATATACAATTTATCCCAGTTACTTGGGAGGCAGAGACTGAGAAGATCTGTGGTTCAAATCCAGCCTGGACAAAAAGTTAGAGATTCCATCTCAATCGGTAAGCCAAGGTATAGTAATGCATGCCTGCATTCCCAGCTATGTGAAAGGCCACTGAGGTCCAGGCAAGCGTGAGGCCCTGAGTTCAAACTCGTGTAGCAATCCAAAAAAAAAAAAAAAACCTATAAGCAAAAAAGAGGAGTGTGGCTGAAGTTTGCCTAGTAAGTGTAAAGTCTTGAGCTCAAACCCAAAAATAAACTATACATACTATTTCTTTACTTGTTTTTCTCACTGCATTATATCATTCAATTCTTGCTACTTTAGCATTTTAATGAGTGCCTGGAACAGGTGTCCCATAATTTAACCAATCCCCTATTGGTTATACTTTCACTGTGTACCACAATGAAATATCCTTGATGCCCATCCATGTGCTCAAATGTAAAGTAAAAAACTGACTGGGTGAAATGATATGCAAATTACCATGTTGTGCTTGCTGTACCACTTGAGCCACATCTCCAGTCCATTTTGCTCAAATTATTTTGAAGGTGGGTTTCACAAATCATTTGCCAAAGCTAGCCTCCAATCACCATCCTTCTGATCTCAGCTTCCCAAGCAGCTAGGATTACAAAATTGAGCCTCTGCATCCAGTTTGGTCATCAGTTTTTAAGGCTACTGACAAGAATACAGAGAATGATGTAGCAAAACCTTTTTTTTTTCTTTTAATTATTTGGTGGTGCTGGGATTTGAACTCAGGGTCTCATGCTGGCTAGGCAGGCACTCCACCACTTGAGCCACTCCACCATCCCTGTTTTGTGTTGGGTCTTTTTCAAGATAGAGAACTATTTGTCCAGTTCTGCCACCTGAGAAGCTAGGATTGAAGGCATGAGCTACCGGTACCCCGCTCAGCCAAAATCTTCATAAAAGAAATGGCAGAGGTACAAGTAGCTCATGCCTATAATTCTAGCAAGCTGGGAAGTGGAGATGGGGAGGGTTTCAAAGGCCACCCAGGAGAAAAAGTTAGTGAGACTCCATTCTCAACCATTGGCTGGGCACAGTAGCTCCAGCCTGTCATCCTAAGTGTAAATGAGGATAGCAATCGAGGCTACTTGAGGCAAAAACATTGAGATCTCATTCAAAAAAAAAAAGCTGAGGGCACCCAGGATCCTTTGGCCTGGAGATAATGGAAGGATGAAGGCTGAGCTTGCTGAATGGAAGATAATGTTTAGTTACTTATGAGAACAAAACTAAACCAGCTGGGAAAAACCGGTAAGTGCTACTCTGTAAGTTAAATCCAAGACAACGGAAACTTCCTAAAGAATTACCCAACACCCATGTTCCACTGGCCCTAACTATTCAGATTGAGGGAGGAAGGAGTCCTAACAGAGAGGAATGAGATTGGGTCAGAGCACAGGAAAGTCAGTCAGTCAGTCAACCTAAAGTTAGCTTATGTTCAACTATTACTATTTCAGCCCTGTAGGAAAATTCCGCACTCACTGCACTCTTCAAATTAAACTTGAGAAAGAACGTGATTCAACTTTCCTATACAAGCCACAAAATGCTTATAAAAAACCCAATTTCACCAATCACTGAAACGTCATGGTGAATTAAAAGCTGAGTTCTGTCAGTGACATGTTATACTTGCAGAGAACTCCTATCTTCTCAATTTGGGGTGGGGGCTCTGGAGTCAGAATGCCTGAGATTTTGGACCTCTCTGGCTTCTATTTTCAGTTTCTGCTATGGGACTAAACAGTACAATCCTCACGTGAGCTGTCTAAGGGATAAATAAGTGCCTCCAGGTTAAATGCACATAGGGAAGCCACACAACTGCAAGCAATGATCATCTGAAGAGCATGACAATTATGCAGGACTTAAGAAAGAGGTGCTGGGGAAGAGGTTATTTAAAAATACAAGCACAACTAACTTCAAACAGTCCACTGTCTAAAAATGTCTTACAAGTCAGCAGTTTAAAATTCAGAATGCGTTTCATCTGGATAAAACAGTTTATTGGATTCCCAAACCAACACAAAAGAGTTAAAATTCAGTACAATACTATGAAGGAAAAGACAAAGGAAGATGGCTGAAAGTTAGTAAGGAGTATTTTTGGGGGGGGGGGGGTAGGAGGAAACTGACACTCCTTGTGCCCATCAGAAGACCAGAAGAAAGTGCAGGCAACAACCCTGCTGTGCATCAACATCGGAACAGAAAATCAAGGACTGGGCTGGGGTGGTGGTTCACACCTATAATCTGAGGAGACTCAGACAGGAGGATGGTAAACTCCAGGGCAGCTTAAACTACATAGCTGAGACCCTGTCTCCCACCGCTGCCCCTCAAAAAAAAAACAAAAAACAAAAACAAAAACCTCAAAGACTAACTGCCTTGAGACTTGAAGCCAAGTCAGGGTGTAGTTTGCCCAGCTGTCATTTAACTAGCTCCAGGGAAAATAAATTAAGTTCAAACTACAGTGGATGTATGTCTGAATTTCTTTTTTGGTAATACTGGGATTTGAACTCAGACATCTGAACTTCTTAGACCAAATGACTTATGAATTATGAACTCTTCAAATTAAGTGAAACCAGGCTCTGCTGTTCTAGCAAATTTGGGAAGTAAATATTATTTCTTATCAGCTACTAGTAATAAAACTGAAGCTGATCAAAGGAAGAACCAAGTTGAACATGGAAATATACAAAAATTAATCCCCATTAACTAAAATGTTCTTAATGGAAGTATATCAGAAAAGGACAATGTATAATCACTTCTAAAACCTGAAATTACAAAATTGGACCAGTGCAATTTCCTGGCGGGAGAGATGCATGGATGTTTTGTTTCATCTTAAAGCCATGATCCCTTCCCCAAGCAGAGGTCCAAGGAATTTTAAAGTCTGAATGTAAATGTTAATTGCAATATACTACAAACAAAACCAAGAAAACAGAACTAGAGGCATGGCTCAAGCACCTGCAAGCACTTCAGTCCCACCAAAAACATACATACTTAATCTTCAAAATATAAGGATGAGGTCAGGAGAAAAGACAGTCGATCATCTTCCCCACTTCCTTTTGTTCTCTACTCCACTTGCACCTAGGTTCCTTGTGCACTGTTCTCATCCACTGCCAAAAGTCCTCCCACACCGGTTGAAAATCCAGAAATAATCCAAACCTAATTTATGGGTTGAAGACAGCTTCCAGAGAGGGACTGACAAGGTTTCTCTTCTTGAGTGCGGGTTAAACGGGTAATTTTGTTTAAATAAAAGCAAGACTTTTTTTATACCTTCAAAAACACAGTATTGGGCTGGTGGAGTGGCTCAAGTAGCAAAGCGCCTGCTTAGCATTAGCTGGGTTCAATCCCCAGTACCGAAAAACAAAAGAACTTGAACTAAATAACATCATTCTTGTTATTCTTCTTAGTAAAAAAGGAGCTGTTCAGTTGTGGCTGGAGGGTGGTAAGGAACCATTGCTAAGGTTTTTCTGGAATTGATGTACTCAACTCGTATAGACAATCAGGAAACAGTACATAATTGTCCCCCTAAACATAACAACCAACTTGTGAAGCAGTTAAAGCATCTGCCATTTGAGTTCTCAAACTACCAAAACCCTTGGAAAACTATAAGCCTTGAGAAACTGCAGCTTCTAAAAACCTGACATTTAGGAAAGAACAGTCACACAAGTGGGTCCCAGGAAATGTAAACAGAACGCTTCTTTGCATTTTAAAAATCATAACCAAACCCACAATAATGAATACTAGAAAATTCTGCAAAGTAACATGTATGTTCAACAAAACGCACATGAACACAAATACCCTAAAGAGATGGTGATGTCCTTTATGAATTCATACGTACACGATCCAAGAAATTCATTTGAACAGCCAAGTACATCTCTCACAGACAAAATGTCAACAGT